TTAAATCTCTTCAATCTATTTCAGTCAGATAAAAGATACATTAATATAACAAAAATGGCATCCAGACTTCAGGGCCCATGTGTGGTCAGTGAGCTACAGATCCAAAGAATTTCGAGATGATTCTATAACCAGAGGAGGTGGGAGGGCAAACTTTCCAAAAGACCTCCAGGCATTCAAGGGTACACCAGCAGTGTCCTGGAGCGTGCTGCGTCCCGACTGTGTCGACCCATCTTTTTTATGTTTACTTTCAAAACACGAGTGCTGCTTTCTCTCAGCTGTACTTACAGCTGGAGTTTCTAAACAAACATTCCGCGTCTCACTGTTGACCTGTACATGGGAACAGAACATATTCCATCTAATTATATGTGCTGCAAGTAGCCGACACTGGCATTATGTTGATGTATACTGAAAAAGTATTTCAAAATAAATCTGTTTTATATGTTTAGTGACTTTAAGAGAACTGAATCAGTCGGATTCAATAATAGTTGTGTGATCGGAATCAACTGAGAATTTATGACTCATTTAGGGTATTTTTTGTCATTTTGGAACCCCAGTCATTTACTGTTATTATATTGGGTTTAAAACTATATGAGGGTGAATAAATGACAACATTTTCATTTTTTTGAGTGAATTATTACTGTAAGACCAAAAAAATATAATGGCTCATTTAATGTGTGTGTGTGTGTGTGTGTGTGTGTGTGTCTGTTGAACTGCTCTTGATCAGGAGGGGTAAAAATGAGCCAGCTCACAGAACTAGTTCTCCTTACAGGTAAGTCATGACTATTTATGTACACAGTAAAGGTCACAGACTGATCTGTGCCCTTGGGACTGAAGGTCAAGTATTAAAAAAAGACTTTCTGTCCACATTTACAGTATAGGACTTACTGACTTTAACTGTTTTTTTTTGTTTGTTTTTTTTAGAAAATCATGGTTATAAAAACTAGTAAATTTTCTAAATTCAAAATTAAGTTCTCATTACAGTATATATACACAGTAGTTTATAACATACATAAATCATGAATTTGAACTTAAATTGCTTATTTATTTTACAGAACAAAATGTATATTTTTATTTTAAATCTTAAAAAAGAGTGCAATATTTTGAGAGTATTACCTTTCCCCAAAATGTCTTATACTTTATTCGTTTGTTAATGCCATTAATAATTTTTTTCTTTGTGTATGTGTATGATTTTTCATAAATCTTTATTTTCATTTACAGTCTTCTTGGCACTCTTCAGTCGAGCTGAAGCGAGTAAGACAGAAAAGTTTATTTCTAATATCGCTATTCAATGTTTAATCCTGTCTCATGCATTGACAACATTAAGATTTTTGGCAGCATTTTTGTCTGTTTTCAATGGCAGTCTAAGTTTTCTCCTCTTTTTTGCCTTTGCAGATCCTTTTGTTTACAGTAAGTACTCTGAGGCAGATGCACATGATATCCTTATAAATATAACTTATAATATATATAAAATGTATAAATATGAATATAAATGTATAAATATGATAAATATGAATGTATAAAAATATATACAATTTTTAATCCTTTTTAAGATAGATTAAAATGCTTCTGTTTTTAGACTATGAGGCGCTGAGGATCGGGGGGTTGGTTTTCACAGCCCTGCTTGTAGCTGGAGGGGTTGGAGTTCTGTGTTGTAAGTAGCTCTGAATTTTTACACATGCATTTTCTACCTAAAGAAAACCTTATGTTTGACATTTTAGGCAAAAAGAGTAACATATTGTTCTCTTCACAGGGGGGCAGTGCAAACCAAAAAGAAAGTAGGTCACCTGATCTCACCGTCATATTCACACTTTTACATCTAAATGAAATTATGTACATTTTGAAATTAAAACATGTTATTTATGATAATAAATGGTATAATTTAAAAAGTACCTCATCTCTTTGACATAGGGATAATGAAGACGCAAGCAAAATCTAAGGATCAGGGACTTCATCTGCTGAAACTTTCTAATGAATTTTTAATTGAGTAGAAGACGGTTTTATTCTGTCTATTTACTGATGGCGAACTAGCTCCACTTCTCATCTGTACTTTATTTTATTGTAGGGTTTCCTTTGTTTCAACCATTAATTTATACATTAATCACAGTCCCTGCCCAAAAAACTGAGCTTTTGAATTTGTAAAATTATTCTATAAATTTTAGCAATCTCTCAAAGTGGCGCTTTAATAAAGATTCTCAGTTATTGGCCTGCAAAATTGCATTTGTTGTCATGTTTTATGCCTGAATTTGGCTGGCCTTGTGCAAGATGAAAGTCAAATGTCTTTTTTGTAGTAGGAATCAAAGTAGAATCAAATGCTGAAATGTATTATTAAAACAGAGGGAATATTTTAAATAAATAGATAGATAAATAAATAAATAGATAGATAAATAAATAAATAAATAAATAAGTAAAGTGGTAAATTTTTATATTTATTTGACCTGTTTCTCAATGTTGTATACATTGAAATCCATAGAATGATAATGTCCAGGCATAAAATTACCAGTAACTTTTCCGTTAAGTTTATGCACATTTCCTCCAACCCTAAAACAAAACACAATACAATGTGTAATTTAAAGTAAACAAAATCAAAAATCGCCTGTGAAAAATCTATTCTGAAAATTCCTTTATATTAAAGGGGTCATATGATGTTGCTAAAAAGAACATTATTTTGTGTATTTGGTGTAATGAAATGTGTTTATGTGGTTTAAGGTTAAAAAAAACACATTATTTTCCACATACTGTACATTATTGTTTCTCCTCTATGCCCCGCCTTTCTGAAACGCGTCGATTTTTACAAAACTCATCGGTCTGAAAAACGAGGTGTGCTCTGATTGGCCAGCTATCCAATGCGTTGTGATTGGCCGAATACCTACACAGCGCCTTCACGACATGGCGGTGGCGGCAACAACAATACTATACAGCGAGAATAAGTTACGCCTTCTTTCTTTGCGTGAATATTTGGGCGGCGTTATGCAAATCTTCCGTAGACATGTGGGGGCGTGTTAGAACAAGCCGTTTTAGGTAGGTGTGGTTGACTCTTAACTTTTATAAAGAATATCTCTTTGGATTTGAGACTTTAGTCTTTGCAACTTTACAGATCTTCTTTATGCACCAAGAGCTTGTAACACTTCAAAGAGAAAGGAAAAATTGAAATCGCATCATATGACCCCTTTAACACATTTATTTCAGATCTCTTAGAGAGTTCTATTCCTCTACTTTTGTTAGATTATTGTGTTCACTCACCAGCAGAATAAATTCAGCCCGAGCGTGCATGACAAACTAAAAACTGTCATAGTTGCTCTCCCAGAGAAAAGATCCTTCATTCAAAGCTCAACCCACTCAGGACTGAGCCAACCTGTTGAGCGGATGGTGGGTGTTGGTTTCAGTCTGTCTAGATCAGATCTTTACGGGTAGTTCCTTCACAAACCACGTTTCAAACGTCAACATTTCACTTTCTTTATCTTTGAAAAGGGTGAGTAATCAGTTTTGATTCCATTTTAATGTTTATACAGTGAAACATATGTTACGGCTGATGGATAGTCAAGTTCATATATTCAAATATGATAATTAAGCATTCAGAAACTTTCTAAGGTATTTTATAAGGTGTTTTGTGTTCATACTTTACGTGGTGTTTAATCTTTGTATCCTTTGAATCCTTTAAATTCCATGGAACATTTCAATTGCACAAAAAGTTCTTTATAGTGGAAAAAGTTTCTTCCAATTATTACAATTTTCTTCATCCTAAAAAAATTCTTTAAGGAACTGTTCACTGTTCACTATTTGTAATGGGTAAAGATTTAAGGCTTATTACATGATCTGCTCATGGAAACAGATGTTTGTTAGCTGAAGGGAGCACAAAGACAGCACTTCTTTAACTACTGGAAAGGGCGGGATTGTGGTTTTTGGAATGATGATTCATTTCAACAGGATGTCTTGTTCCTTCCTGCGTCACTCTGCACACATGGGCAAGAAACAGCTTAAAAGTAAACTTCGGTGCTAATCTAGTTATATACTAAAGAGTTTTCTGGATAGGTGAATCTGTAAATACATTGCTGAACTAGATGGTTTTACTCCATTTTAAAGGGCCTGTGTTACTAAAGGGCATCTGTCCGTGTGTTTCTGCTGGAGTGTATAATCATACAATACTTCAAAGTTCACAGCCTGTTCTCAGGGGTGGAATTTTGTTCCTAATATAGCTGCAGTCTGGATTCCTGTGTACATGGCTTGCATCCTTTGTGTACCATGTGATTGTGTCAAGTTGTTTTATATGGAGTTACTCTTAACAGGTTCAGGAACATGCTCGGGTTCTGGGCTGTTTTGAGCATTGTCAGAACACTCTGAAGCAGTCATCTCATCAGGGATGTCTAAAGCTCCATCACAATTGGTATCCTGCATTTCATTTCTTTCATGCGTTCTATCCATTTGCAGTAACCATTCTGATGTCTTTGAAACAGGATCAGTATCGTCCATCAGAGCAGAATCAAGAGCACTGCCACGGGTAGCACATGTGGAATTTGATCGAACAGATTCCTCTTCATCATCATCCCAGGATAAGAAATTCACTGGAAGCAACAGATTTCTGTGCACTACTTTTTCTCTGCCAGTCTGAGCATCCTTAATCCTGTACACATTAATCTCTGGTCTCACTGATTGTACTTCGTACAGAACAGAATCCCCACTTGTCTGCAACTTTCTTCATGCCTTTCACTCCACGATTAGCCAGTAGAACTCTATCTCCCACTGCTAAGGTGTACCTCTGACCTTTCGATTGTAAAGAATGGCATGACGGTTTTGTTCTTTGAGACTGTTTCCGAGCAATTTCAGCAGCTGTGCTCAAGTCTCTTCTCAATGTGGTGACAAACTCATGATGGCTGACCACTCTATCATCACAAAGGACATGCTGAAACATGATGTCAATCGGCAGCATGAGAAAACCAGTTCTAGTCGGTTAAGAGCTACCTGTTCACTTGAAGCAAAAACCATCAGATCGTCCAAGTAGCAAAGAAGGCATCTCGTATTCTTTTTGGAAAAAAAAATAATAAAAAATTACCACAGTTTCTGTACAAGATTGTGTCCACCCGACTCCAGCGAAAACTTTAAGATGAACCCTCGGCCACTTCAGGAACCATCTTGATTGAAGGAACAACAGGTCACGGCACCAATGTGACTGTGTGTGTTGGAGTAATTCACACTGAGATCAGGTGGATGGTCACTCAAGGATGCTTTACTGGGCCTGACAGACAAAACTGGGACAAACACGACCAAAAGGCTGGTTAGAATACATTGCATCGATGTTGCATGAGAAGTCTTAGCAGCAGGGAGATTATAGAGACTCTGCTTCTGACATTTTCTCTAAAGTGCACGTGACATAGTGGGCAAAAACCTCAAAATAAAACACATTAAATAAAATAAAACACTAATACAGTCAATTCACATTAATACAGAGAAACTGTAAACTTAAGTGACCAATATTTTACATATTTTGTATAAAAGACAGAACGGAAATAATGCAGCCCTAAAATGGCGCCGCTACACACTTCAGCACGTGCGAGAGCATACAACACGTGTGCTAATAGCTAACATTCAACTATAGCTGATATTATTTTCACACAGATCATGACAAAACCGAACAAAACACATACCTGGGACAAACACGACCAAAAGGCTGGTTAGAATACATTGCATCGATGTTGCATGAGAAGTCTTAGCTAAATGAAATAAACAGAGGTTCGGAGTTCACAAGTAGGCCAATAAACACTTCATTTTATCATTTATAAACTTGGGCTTTATAAACTTAGTTTTTAAGACGGAGCAATCATTTATGCGACTTACCAGCAGGGAGATTATAGAGACTCTGCTGCTGATGACGTAGCTCCGCCCCGCAACATCATGTGCGCAATGAGTGATGCAACAGCCAATGGGAGTTTTCCCAATTTATGCATGAATTTAACTAATTATTTTAACTCTCCTTTACATATATATATATATATAGAGAAAGAGAGAGAGAGAGAGTCGCCTTGGAATTATAAGGTTCTATCTGACATTTTTGTCAAAACTGGATGAAGGTAAGATCTTTGTGTGGAGCACTGACTGCTGTCAGACTCCTTGTGCATAAAACAATCTCAGTGTATTATTCCAATTAATGGCAAAAGAAATGTTTGGAAATGTAAACTGATATTTCTTACTGACACACTACAGCAAAAGAGAAATAACTGACTTAAAACCATTTTTTGTTGGTGAAAATACTAATGGCCTAAGACTTTTGCACAGTACTGTATATTTTTATATATGCAGGTACTTTAATATAACTCTCTCATCTCTTCAGCACAGAACAACAGGCTTTAAACCCAACCTTTACATCAGCGGTTGCTTGCAATAATTACTAGACTCATCAAATTAGTGCAGAGAAGGAGGCGTGTCATAAAATGAAGACTGATCAGACCTCCAACCAATCAAATGTACAATTTGCTGCTTACACCAGTATTTATGAGGCAGATGAAAATGATTTAATCCTATAGTTAACTTGACAATTCAAAAGGTTTTTAAAGTTATTCCGTGTTTAGTTATTCAGTGTCTCAAAACATGTGCAATACTATAAATAACTGCCTTTAGGTTGACTTTGGTCAAGAAACCAGTAGTAGACATGACCTAAAAATAAACACTTCAACTAGGAGAGAGAAGAGTAGGACTGATGCTAAGTGTCTGTTCAATAACTTAGGTTTGCTAGTGAACTATCATCCAGACAGAGATGTTTTTGCACCGTATACAAGTCACCACCTTGATGCTACGGTTGCCAGGATGTCACTATGTGGTTGCAAATATGTTCTGAATGATATTTAGCAGGTTGGCATGTGGTTGCTAGGTGGTCTCTAGGGTGTTCTGGGTAGTTGCTAGGTGCTTACCTACTGGAGCAAGTCAAAAGCACACAATCATAAGTTAGATCCCTTAAAAATAGTAAAACACCCTTTCACACTTCAAAGAAAAAAAGTTTTGTCTAGTTTTTCATTATAAATTTCTAAAAATGCTTAAATCAAGACAAATTTACTAGGAAAATGATTTAAGAAAACACATATTATTTTCAGTAAAATGTATCAAAATTTGATTAAATTAGAAAATTAGGAAAAAAATAGAAATATATCAGTGGTGTAAGAAAGAAAATATTGTTTTCTCTTTGAATTAAGTTTATTTTTCTTACCCCAATGACAGTTTTTATTTTATTTCATGTTTTAAGAATAAACTCACCTGATGCATTTTTCAGAAAAAAATAGTTAATATTTTTCTTCTCAAGTAAATAACTTGATTTATGAATGTTTAAGATGTTTGTACTGGAAAACAAGACAACTGAGTAAAACAATTTATTTTTTCTTCTAGTGCACAACAAGACTGACACTGAGAGTTAGTAATATTCCTAGGCTGTCTTGTTTAAATTTCTCATTTCCTGAATGAGGATTTAATGTTGCAAGTGAGGAGCAAAAAGGGCTAAGAGACAGTATTGTTAGTAAAATGAACTATGGCAACAGTCAAGAAAGAAACAAGGCATTGCATTGAAGAAGAGATGGTCGGTTTGTAATGTGAGATGAGGAAGTGATGTTAAACACTGTAGAACAAAATTCCTCATTCTTTCTCATGACCCCCCCCCCCCCCCA